GTCCTCTTTTTTGATTGTTGAAATATAGTAACCCTAGGGAAGTGGGAGGGGGCAGATGGGGATGGGAGCCAGGCTGTTTGGCGGGGGGGGGGCGCAGCCTTCCCTAACCGGCCCTCCATACAGTTTCGGAACCCCGATGTGGCCCTCAGGCCAAAGAGTTTGCCCACCCCTGCTCTAACCTCTGTAACAATGGTACCTAAGACTTGACAACACTTTGCTTGGGCAGAACATTCTCTATCTTAGAATGACCAGACTGAATTTATCACCACCACTAGCACAGAAACCAAAAGTCTTTTGGAACTGCCCCAGGCTTCCAAGGGCAGGAAAAACTAATTTTCCACACATGTACTGAACTTTTTCTGGTACATAACAGATCTACTAACTCATACCCCTAACATTATTGAGCAGGACCCACTGTGATACAGATATAGTTATACCCACTCATTACCCCAATGACAAAATTATCCTTTTCACCACTGTGCTGAGTCCCTTGCTTGGGAGGAAGGACATAAGCATTGTTTTAATGGACTTTATAATAATAGTAGTATCTTATTTCTGCATCCTAGGCAGATTTTTGTTTTAAATGAAATCAGGCCACATTAAAACAAACTATGACTTTATCATTTCATTAATGAAAACAGGAGATCAAGTCCAGTGTGGGACCAGCCACACATTTCTGTACTGTAAGTATGTATAAGAGTAATTCATCATCTACTGTACAGAAACAAACATGCTCAGATAATGCTATTTACACATTAATGTTTTACTGGCAGAGAAATATCAATGGCAAGCTGCAGAGTATACAGACACGTACTTAATGTCTACATCACAGCATTAGTTTAAATTAGACTTTTTAAAAAAAAGAAAGTTCCTAGAGCAAATGGGTAACTAAAAGCCATGTTTGTGCTAGCATTGTGTGTGTTAAAGAACATAATGGTTTCAAAGCAGGTGGCATGTTTTGGATGCAGTTTTGAAGCCTCTGCTTGTGCCACAAGCACATTACAGAAGCATGTTGAAGGCTTGCTGAGGGACTGATCATCTAAAACATGGTTTTGACTTATGTTGCTTAGCGTGTCTGACATGGTTCCTGTGTGATAAAGTGGATGCTCTAAAAACTACTTTTTAAAGCTAACCATGAACAACAGAATACCCTGAATTTGAGAGTAAAGCCTTTCGCTATATTCAGATGTTACAGACCCTTGTTTCCACTTTAGAAACTAAGTAGCAGTTAAAATAATTCAGAATAATTTATCTACCAGTCTGCAGTGCACTTAGCTTCTCACTCCTACATTTTCAAAGA